CCGTTTCTTATTTATACGTTATTGCTGTAAATTATTGAGTCTACTTTATGCCACTGACGCAAGCACGATACTGCAGGGTAATCCCATTATATACAACATTTTGATTTATAAATGCAACGAAAAGGCATGCATTGTGAACATAATCAGCAGAATTAAGGTACTGTATAATAAGTCATCTTGAACCCTCTAAAGCTGAAACTTCAAACATTTACAAACAGATAACAAGTGATAAACTAGGGATAGAACTGAGAGGAACTAGACAGATTTTCATGTCCATTTTGTGCTTTGAATGTTGAAAGTTCGGTACCCCAGCTTCAAGGTATTTCTCTAGTTATATGCTGATTTCATGGCGGATCTCTGAAGCTGTCTTTGTCAGAGCACCTTTGATAAAGAGACTAATCATCTCAGTCTCAATGGCACTTTTATGGTTATTGGTACTTCACCAGTAAAACTTAGCTTTATTGTCAATTATATGACCGAAGGTTGAAATAACACCATCCTTCCCACAGCCTCTCACACTCTCATAATGTTGTAGTTGATGAGTGTTTGTGAAATAAGGACTGTTTAGAAGTGCTAATCTATTCCTTCCTCATTCTTGTCAATTATAGTGACATTTGCCATCTCTCCACAGCTGCCACTGTTTTTTATTATGCCACTGAGCGAGTAGATTAGTTTGATAATTTTGGTAAATGGAAGACAACTCTAAATGCGTAGTGGTGTTTGGGGCAACATTTTAATTCATTGGTGAACATATAAAGTATAAACATGTTGGTCCACAAATACGTTTTAGCACGGAAGAATTCGTAAACTAATGGGTTTTGTGATGAGCGGGTATTCAGTGGATATCTCCTAATTGAGCCATTTACCACAAACTCATATTTGGCGTGATAATGGTATTTCCACAATGCACATGAGCATTAGTGTTATGAATGCAATGTGCGGCAAAAAGTACTATGTCACAGGGAGCTAATGAGGTTACCGAGATGTTTATAGAAGGCTGTGTGCGGAAATGATGGCCACGCCGCTTGTTGGTGCTGGAGGAATTCAATCAGGTCGTTAGCGGACCGACATGACACAGTAGGGCCACCAACTGTAGTTTGAATGGTAAACTCTGTGTAAATATATTTCCAATTCTCAAAATCTTGGACTGTAAAAAAGTAAAAATGCATGTAGAATGATTGAAAGAACGGTTTAAACATGATTGTATTTGTAATCGGCAGGATGGTTAGGATGGGCGGCACGGTGGCTGAGTGCTGAGTGTTCTCTCGACCTCTCAGCAAGAAGGTCCTGGGTCGGACAAGGGCCTTTCTGATTGGAGTTTGCATGTTCTCCCCGTGTCTGCGTAGGTTTCCTCTGGGTACTCCAGTTTCCCCTACCACTAAAAACATGTACAATAGGTCTGGCATGCGCCTCCTGTACTGGCGAACCCTGCTCCCATCTCTGTGTGGAGTGAGAGGACAAATGAACAAAAATAACAATTGTAAACCGCTTTGTGACTCTGGTCTGTGAAAGGCGGTATATGAATAAAGATTACTTACTTACTTACTAGTTCTATATTTTGATCTTAAGGAATATTGGTGACGTGCTTAGTGCTTGTACTCCAGTTTTCCCTACCACTAAAGATCCTCCATTCATCCCACAGTGGGAAAATGTCAGTGTCAGTAAGAGATAATATTTTTAACGTTGTCTTCGTGGTTAGTATTTCGGGGGGCCGCGCAGACCCGTCAGATTTTTAAGGGGGCCGCGGTGTTACTGACTTTGGGAATGGCTGCTCTATACAATCAACAACATAAAATAAAATAGCTATCTTTTAAAGAAACAACAATATTGCATACTCTAGAGCAGGCATGGGTAAACGTTTAGGGAAGAGATCTACTTTCCAATGTTTTTCTGAGGCGTACGTTTTTACACAGAAATGTATTATGTGAAACATTAAATATCACAGAAGAGAGAGGAGCGCGACCTGGGCTCCAGAGTAAAAGTATCTGTAGCTAAATCCATAGTACACTCTGGTGCAAGAATATTGAGGTGATAAGTCATTACCTCTGTGGGTTCAAGTAAAGTGCAAATTCTCACAGATTCATGACATGTCATACTCTAAGTTTGAATGAAATGAGTGAGTGGACGAATGGTGATGTTCGAAGGCTTTGATGCAACAGTTTGTTTGATGTATGAAATGTAAACTCTTACTCCAAAGCATTGTAAAGCACTTAGACCTTGGTCTCTACATGTGCTATATGCATAAAGATGACTTACTTTCTGTTGGAACGTAATGTATCTGTATTGGACTAACAGTAAATACAGTAAGTCATTCACTAATGAATTTGTAATGAACACCCAAGAACAACCCTTTCATTGGTAAATGTAAATATTCATATTTTTAACCCTGAACTAATCATAAAAAATTCAAAGACAACCGTAAATCGACTAATACATATTATAAGTTCCATTTATGGAGAATCTAATAATTAACACCATCAAGTACATTTTGACAATGAGCCACACATTTGTGTTTGCCAATGATTAATATAATGTTTACTTCTCATGTCTCCACAGTGTGTGTAATGTGTCCTACTCATTCATAACTCATTTTGAATTATTTCTCATATATTTTGATATATATTTATCAAACAAAATCAAAAATCAAAAAAATGAATGTATGTAATAAAATAAATTGGTAGCCCAGCTTCCAATTAATATACATTCTATTGCTCTTTTACATCCCCAAACCCCGAGCGAGACCATAAAGAACAAAAACCTCAATCTCCCTGATACATCGTGAAAGGGTGTCGTGAAAAAACATGGGTTTGAACAAAATTAGCCAAACATATATTCTTTGTGACTAATATGGAATAGCCCTCATCCTTCTCTCCAACAAGAATATATTTTTGCATGATAATAATCACTGGGCATTCACCTGGCCTTCAATAACCCACTGAAGTGTCTTCTATTACAGATCATTTGTGAGGCAGCTCTCAAGTCCTGATTGGGCCAAAAACCGGAGAGGCATAGATGTGATACGATTACATTTTCTTTGGACAGCCTGAGATATTCAATATTCAACTTTAAAATCTGTGAAATATTTGTTAGTATGCTGCCCATATCTGTCATGTCCAACTGGGAAGTTATAAACTTCATTATAAACTTAAACTAACTGAGAAAATAATGTAGTCACTAGTAATGTATGTATATTTTATCAATTATCTTTGAGATTTGTTGTATATTTATATTTATATGCATCTTTTTAAATGTATTTACTAGAATAAAAGTAACTGTACTTTAGTGAAATGTGAAGAGAAGAGGACACTGCACAATATGGCTTGTGAATTAAATGATCGAAAATACATATTGAAGAAAATAACAAAAATATCAAATTATCTGCGAGACATATCCACCTAACAACCTCTTAGTGTACACCAGTTTATCTAAATTATAGACACTGCATTTGGTACAATAAATCTAACTTCTAACAAAAAGCCTGGCAAAAAACCTGCCTTGTTATGCCAACTTTATGTCAGTGCTTTGTTTCTTGGCTTTTAAAACATCCGCTGCATGGCATTTGTCTCCCTGCTGTAACTCCATGATTTTATGCTCCAACACACAGGATCGTCGCCATTGAATCGCAAATCCATCTTTTGCCTGCAGTATGAATACTATTGTTAGCCCACAGGTTGCGTTTTGGAAAGCGCTCCCTGTGACTCAGCCTCAGGTCTAAAGATAACGTTTAATTAAGCTAAAAGCCTCACTAGCTATTCCAATGGACTCTCCCACCTCTCCGGAAACTTCCCTCTAATTGGACATTCCACCCCCCGCAAGTCTTTCCCAAATAAGATTAATAAGCAGGCCAGATTCAAAAATCAATACATCTTTTTGGCAGTGCCTAGAGATTTTGAGCTTGGTAAACAAAAAAGTGAAGGTGGAATTTTTGGAAGAGTTGACTGAAAAAAGTACTCAATTAATATACACTTGGCAAGCGATTAATGTAAATGTTGTGTGTGGTAATGATCTCAATACATACAGCAGGCTTAAAACAGCTATTGGGCGGCACGGTGGCTGATTGGATAGCACCCTCGCCTTTCAGCAAGAAGGTCCTGGGTTCGAATCGCGGTTGGACCAGGGCCTTTCTGAGTGGAGTTTGCATGTTCTCCCCGTGCCTGCGTAGGTTTCCTCCGGGTACTCCGGTTTCCCCTACCACTAAAAATATGTACAATAGGTCTGGCATGCGCCTCCTGTTCGGCGACCCCACTCCCATCTCTGTGTGGAGTGAGAGGACAAGTGCCCAAAAAATAACAATTGTAAACCGCTTTGTGACTCTGGTCTGTGAAAGGCGGTATATAAATAAAAGCTTACTTACTTACTTACTTACTTACTTACTAGCTATTAATGCAATTTTGGTACATTTTGCGATATACGTTTAACTTTTGGTTTGTTTTGTCATCATGATATGCATTATAAGTACACTCTACTATTGATCTTGAATTGTGTGTGTCAGGAGAAAGTGTAAATCTCTTCTGCAAGGTTCAATATCAGACCTGCTGTGAAGGATTCCACTTTTTGTTCCATTTATTTATACATGATTTTTAGCATTTGCAACAAGACAAAACAACATATTTCTTGTACTGTTTCATCTTCTTTGTGCCTAATCCTTGCGTTCCTGTCACAATATCATGAATCTTTTGATGCTTTGTATTCAAATGACGCTGGTTTATCATCATCTGTTCCAACGAACGCGCAGGTTCATAAATACCACGCTTGCTCTGGTGCGTGTACAAATATTAGACGTGAGGAAGGGAAGTTTCACCGCAACGCTGTTGAACGAGGGCCACTGTGTCTTAAGGCGTAAACACATTGCAAAGTTTCTGGAGAGACTTAGCTCAGGCAAGAGAAAGCTGCTTAAATCCTGGGGCATGGTAACTTTTGGAAAGCCTCATATTGACATTTTACTTTAGTCACTCCATTTCTGCATTTTGGTTTTAATACACTTTTGACACCTTGTTGAGATGGAGGGACTAGGTGATGATTTTACCTGTACTCTCGGATATGTCTTGAACAAAGATTGAAAAAAATAAAAAGAATGAATTGACTATTTGACTTAAAGATTTTTTTCCAGACGGATTTTTTATAATATTGTGGAAAAATGTCCCTAAACCCTAAATTTAGTCAAGTTATCATGTGTTTTCAAATAGTAATTGAATTGACCAGATTCCTATAGTCTCCAAAAATTAATAAAACATATTTTGGAGCGGACTGATAAAAATAAACCAATGGGATTCATTCATCTCCAAAAAACCAATGGGATGCGTTTATCCCTCTTCACCCCTGTTTCTCATGAGTGCGCGCACCTGAGTTTTCGGATTCCCTAAAACTTAAAATGACTCAACAGAAAATGCCAATTTCATGTTTGCCACCCACTCTGTTGTGACAAAAAAAAAGAAAATGCTGGATGTTTTGTTTGGTGGAGAGGCGAGGGGAGGGTGTTTTGAGTTGATGCTACGGCTAAGCCAACAAAATAGCTTACTGTACCTTTAAGTTGGATTCTGGCTTGAACTAATAGATAATACAGATTATAAGGCTAGTGCCGATTTTATCTAGACTGGAAGAATTAGGAGTACGAACTTACTTACATAATCGTGACTAGACCAGATCCCTGCTTTGAACTGTCTCTTGCTGTTTTCTAAAGTTTGCTTCTCTTTTCTCTCTTTTCAGGCTATGGGCATGCAGCACCAGGAACGGACGCCGGCAAGGCCTTCTGCATGTTTTATGCCGTCCTGGGAATCCCTTTGACTCTCGTAATGTTCCAGAGTTTGGGCGAGAGGATGAACACGTTTGTCAAGTACCTCCTGAAGCGCATAAAAAAGTGCTGCGGGATGAGCATCACCGATGTTTCGATGGAGAACATGGTCACGGTTGGATTTTTCTCATGCATTGGAACGCTTTGCATCGGGGCAGCAGCGTTTTCCCATTACGAGGATTGGAGCTTTTTTCAGTCGTACTATTATTGCTTCATAACTCTGACCACAATAGGTTTTGGAGACTTTGTGGCTCTGCAGAAGAACAGGGCGCTCCAGAAAAAGCCTTTATATGTTGCGTTTAGCTTCATGTATATTCTGGTAGGCTTGACCGTCATTGGGGCCTTTCTCAATTTGGTCGTCCTACGATTTCTGACAATGAACAGCGAGGATGAGCGGAGGGATGCGGAGGAGCGCGCGTCTTTAGCGGGGAACCGGAACAGCATGATTATCCATATTCAAGACGAGAGTTTGCCGCGAGGACATCGGAGGAGAGCGCCGTACAGGGGGGATTTCCAGTCTGTGTGTTCTTGTATGCACTATCACTCGCATGACTTGGGCAGTTCTGGGGGCGGACTTGGAAACCTGGGCTGTTCTTTTTCACATCAGAACTCCTTCAGCTCGCAGCTCAACCCCAGCCCATACTTTCACTCGGTTTCCTATAGGATCGAGCAGATTTCTCCCAGCACCTTGAAAAACAGTTTCTTCCCTTCGCCAGTCAGCTCAGTGTCTCCGGGCCTCCACAGCTTTACAGACAATCACCAGCTTATGAGGAGGAGGAAGTCCATATAAGGCCACAGGAATACCAGGAATATATGATGGTGGCCATGGAAGGTCATTGTAATGTTTTTTTATTGTCATGGACATATTTTGGGGAAATACTTAATATAGCAAATCAATATACCAAACTCTAATTTAGAGTTTGGTATATTGATTATAAATCATTTCGATTTCAATACATTTTGTATTCTATAACCGCTATAATCTATAATACAATAAGACTATGCTATTTGGGAGTTACCTCCGACAATAGCGCAAAAATAATACCACAAAAAAACAGTTACAACAGCCTAACTGTAGCATGCTGTTCTTACAATGACCTTTCATGACCTCCACATTGGGTTTATAGGTTTTCTTTCTCCCCAATGCTGCTCCTTACCAAATTTTATTTCAGCACTTTCTCCCTCTTGGTTATGTATTATACAAAGTATTTTGGGGAACTGAAGAGGACTATGCGAGATGCAAAGCATGAAGCATGGATGTCTATTTTTACAAGACAATGCTCCATTAAAAGACTACTAGAACTATAAGACCTTCCTTATTACAGATTTCTTGGTTGTATACCAAGTGATGCACACTTGGGAAAGCTAGATGCTATTTTTCAAAGGGATTTGCTTGTTTCACCTTAACTTGAAGATTTGTAATGTTCTACAGTGTATACTTGCCTCACATCAGATAGAAAAATTTACATGACTTGAGAGCATCAGGTATTGTTTTCTAAGCAATCATATTTTACTATGTTTTAGCCACACATCAAGTCAAAATGTTGTTGCCAATATTAGCATGTGCGTTAGATGTAATTTTCGGAGTGTGTCCAGGGTTTTTGGCATTTTTCAGTCTGTATCCAAAAGGCCATGTGAGAGAAATGAAAGGATCATGCTGTTGTTATTGATAGTTTCCTCATCTACTGAGATTAAAGGTTATAGCTGAACACAAAAGCTTTGATTTTCACCAAGAGAATTCTTAAAATGTAACTTCAATTTGCTATAAAGAAAAATGGTCTTCTCCTTCAGACACTGCAACAGACAGCGACAAGCTGGACTGGTTCTCTCCAGGACACAGGCCTTGCGAAAGTATTCGGCCCCCTTGAACCTTTCAACATTTTGCCACATTTCAGTCTTCAAACATAAAGATATAAAATTTTAATTTTTTGTCATGAATCAACAACAAGTGGGACACAATCGTGAAGTAGAACAAAATTTGTTGGATAATTTAAAATTTTTTAACAAATAAAAAACTGAAAAGTGGGGCGTGCAATATTATTCGGCCCCTTTACTTTCAGTGCAGAAAACTCAGTCCAGAAGTTCAGTGAGGATCTTTGAATGATCCAATGTTGTCCTAAATGACTGATGATGATAAATAGAATGCACCTGTGTGTAATCAAGTCTCCGTATAAATGCACCTGCTCTTTGATAGTCTCAGGGTTCTGTTTAAAGCGCAGAGAGAACCATGAAGACAAAGGAACACACCAGGCAGGTCCGAGATACTGTTGTGGAGAAGTTTAAAGCCGGATTTGGATACAAAAAGATTTCCCAAGCTTTAAACATCTCAAGGAGCACTGTGCAAGCAATTATATTGAAATGGAAGGAGTATCAGACCACTGCAAATCTACCAAGACCCGGCCGTCCCTCCAAACTTTCATCTCAAACAAGGAGAAGACTGATCAGAGATGCAGCCAAGAGGCCCATGATCACTCTGGATGAACTGCAGATAACTACAGCTGAGGTGGGAGAGTCTGTCCATAGGACAACAATCAGTCGTGCACTGCACAAATCTGGCCTTTATGGAAGAGTGGCCATTTCTCAAAGATATCCAATAAAAGTCTGGTTTAAAGTTTTCCACAAGCCACCTGGGAGACACACCAAACATGTGGAAGAAGGTGCTCTGGTCAGATGAAACCAAAATCAAACTTTTTGGCCACAATGCAAAACGATATGTTTGGCGTAAAAGCAACACAGCTCATCACCCTGAACACACCATCCCCACCTCAGCTGTAGTTATCTGCAGTTCATCCAGAGTGATCATGGGCCTCTTGGCTGCATCTCTGATCAGTCTTCTCGTTGTTTGAGATGAAAGTTTGGAGGGACGGCCAGGTCTTGGTGGATTTGCAGTGGTCTGATACTCCTTCCATTTCAATATAATTGCTTGCACAGTGCTCCTTGAGATGTTTAAAGCTTGGGAAATCTTTTTGTATCCAAATCCGGCTTTAAACTTCTCCACAACAGTATCTCAGACCTGCCTGGTGTGTTCCTTTGTCTTCATGGTTCTCTCTGCGCTTTAAACAGAACCCTGAGACTATCAAAGAGCAGGTGCATTTATACGGAGACTTGTTTTTACACACAGGTGCATTCTATTTATCATCATCAGTCATTTAGGACAACATTGGATCATTCAAAGATCCTCACTGAACTTCTGGAGTGAGTTTGCTGCACTGAAAGTAAAGGGGCCGAATAATATTGCACGTCCCACTTTTCAGTTTTTTATTTGTTAAAAAAGTTTAAATTATCCAACAAATTTCATTCCACTTCACGATTGTGTCCCACTTGTTGTTGATTCATGACAAAAAAATAAAATTTTATATCTTTATGTTTGAAGCCTGAAATATGGCGAAATATTGAAAGGTTCAAGGGGGCCGAATACTTTCGCAAGGCACTATAGTCATTTAATGAAACAGCTACAACTACATACAGACTACTTTGACTCTTATGGACCAAAGGAAGATGAGCAGCCATCTGATGTAAAGAATATACAACAGTTATTTTGTAAAAATAGCTGTTTTTGAGAAACGTATATTACAGTACAGTCTATTTTTGAGAATGCATAATGAAAAAATGACAACATTATTATCAAATGAATGACTTGTTTGGATTCTGAAATACAATAAATAACAAAGTATGCACATGTTTGATTAAATTATCTTATTGGACATTGGCCAAAAACTAAAGGTCAATTAGAAAGAACTTCAGAATATATGACATCATACTGTCAACAAAAAACAACAGCTTCCCCACTCCCCTGCTGAACGCTTGGCTGAAACGAGTTGGGGCTTAGTAAAGTCCATTGAGATATGTCATAATCAATAAAGGCCTTTTAATTAATAAGAGAGTGCCTTGGTTTTTGTATTTCTATAAAAAATGTCATAGAAGCCAGAATTCAACAACAAATATTACCTCATAATGACTAAGAATCACAACTGCAAATTCGGATTCAGACAAGACAGCATTTAAAAGACATAAAACCAATATAAAGGAACGCCCCCAGAGAAAAATGTACAATAACCACAGCATGAGTCTTTGCATCATTGTAAAATAACACAAGGGGACAAAGTTAGATTCTAGTTGTTTAAAATGGCTCAAACATGGCTACTTTTAAATGGTTTCTCATAATAACTGTACAATAATGGTCTCAGGTTCCTACGGCTGATATAACATGTTTATTTTATGTACATATCAGATTTAAATATCCAGATGACGTGAATGAGGTGCATCATCTCAGTATAGGCTGCCCTGAGAACTATTCCAACACCAGGGGCCGAGTTTACAGCCCTCTGGTCACTACTGATGATGTTGCTGCATGATAGTATTATGAAAAGCAAACCTTGAATGCACATTTGAGATGGGTTTCTCAATAGGAACACGTGATAAGTGCTAAATAATTATCGGACCATTATTTGCTCTAATTGTCTAATCCATATATTAGTTTTGGTATCGTTTCACACTATACAAGCTAAGAAAGTAAATGGTCCCAAAGACAATATCGCATACAAATTACAGGTAACATTTCTTAAGTAAAATGCCATACTTTAAACAATTACATTTATTTCTTATGCCACATAATACAATCATGCTTGCAGCTCAAATTTGCTACTGGAAACCAACTTTTAAAAGTATTTGAGATGTAAATAGCTTCTGCATTTTGACAGTGCTTTGGGAGGAGGACTTGATTTGCCAGTCCACTAAACTGAGCATGTCTCCTAAGGTGAATCATACTTATTTTGGGAAAACTAAATGCCATGGCTGCTCTTCTGCGACAAAACGAAAAAGCAGGCAGGCGTGGGATCGGTGATAAGCCTTACACCATTGTTTCACATGGGAAACTATAGAGGCTTATCACGATCCCATGTTGCATATGTTTATATACTAACCTTTTGGAATATAAAGACCTTTCCACAGCAGAGATGCAAATGTATTTTTACACATTAGCATATGTGCCTTGAAGAAGCAGTGAGTGTTTCTGTGGGACTGGGCACGTTTCTGATGAGAATGCAAAGCCAGTCATTAAAGGGGTCAACACTTTATGTATACACAATGCAAGGATTAAGAAGCTGAATATTACGACTATCTTTCTCGTCCTAGCACTGTATGGACATTTACATTTCTTGCATTGTACTGTGTTCTCCCGAGCTGTTAAAGAGAGGTGGGCTTACTGTAGTATTACCATTAGACACTCTTGAACATCAACATAAGTCTGTCGCAATAACTAATTTAGTAGACATTATTATTCAAAAAATTGCAATTAACATGAACATCACAATGTGCAGTGTTTGATACACTTTCTCAGTCTCAAAACACACAAAGTACAGACAAACAGAAACAATTAGATTATTAAATATAGAGATTAATAATTTGGTCAATATTGCCCACCTCTTGGCCCTTTTCATAAAGCAATTGTACTTTGAGTTGAATTGAGCATTCCTATGATAGGAAAGAGTTTGTGAAAATAACTATTCATGAGTTTATTGACTAATGTTCCCGCGGCTTCAATTACTTCATCATGACCAACATCTAAATCTTTTTCCTCCCTATAATCAATATTGCATCTTCTCCCACATTCAAAGAGAAACCAGAATGGAAGATATAAAACAGCATTATATAAAAAGGAAGATGTTCACTATCAACTGGGTTAAAAAATATGTCTCAAATGAACTCAAAGAAGCAACATAAAGTGCATTTGCACCAGAGGTCTCCAACCTATAGCTGTGGAGCAACCAGTAACTTTCCACCCCTTTTTAA